TTTTTTTCATTTCGGAACGAAAGTGGAGGCAACACAAACATTGCACTTGTGTGCTGTCATTAAGTAAACATCTGTTTCGGCAATACAACACAAGCCAATTAAATTTGGCAAATCAAAATTATCGAATTATGTACAAAATGATTGAATTCAACTAATTAATATTTTTTTCATAAAAAGGCCAAAACCCGAGGAGGATCCAACGAATCGTTTCTACATTGGCGAAGCATTTTTAGTGAAAGACGAAACCGAAACGGTTGTTGTTCCTGAGTCAGTGCTGAAATCACCGCCGCCGCCGCCACCACCGCCTCCGGAAACTTTCCCGGAAATTCCGCGTGAAGCAAAAGCCGAAAAAACTGGCAACAGTTCAGACGATGCGTTCGAAATAACGCCGGACGATTTAGTGGATGCGCCCACGTCATCATCATCGGAGAATGAACAAATACGGGATGGGACAGCTCATCTGCAAAATCTCAATGCACCAGCCATCGACTCGGGCAAATATTGTAAATTATGTGATATATCCGTGACATCGGAAATTCATATGCGCTTGCATTTGGCTGGTGCAAAGCATGCAAAGAAATTAAGGCAACTTGGCGAACCGCCATACACAGAAGTGCCCCACACATTGTCTCAGTGCATTTTAGAAGAAACAACCGCTAAACGACCGAAAAACAATAACACTCCCACAGCTGCTTCTGCTGCTGCGACCATCGCCGATGGTGGCGCTAACGTGGATTACAGCGTATTTCGGACACCATCGGGCCAATACTATTGCCAAGTGTGCGATTTGAGTGTCACATCCGAAGTAACGCTTGCCCAACATTTTGCCAGCAAACGTCACATGAAAGCTGTCAAACGGAAATAAATCCGAATCGACGAATCAAGAAAAGAATTGAAAAATTCGCTAATGGAAAAAAGATTCTAATGAAATGAACAACGATCTGAATATTATTGGTAGCATTAAATTGATACAATTTTATCATAATACTATTTTGAAACATCAAAATGAGAGAGAGAGAGAGAGAATAATAACTGAAACAACTCATTTCGTTAAGCTTCAATTTGATTTGCACCATTTTGGTCGCAATGCTAATTGCAATCACATACCCCATTTTAAGATCACTTCGTATATCTCTTCTAAACATTTTGCTGAGGCTGCATTCGATTTTATTGAGAAAAAAGAAGAAAAAATCGTTAAATTTTTTCGTCCTAATTGCACTAGATAAAATATCGAAATTTCAATTAAATTTCTTTTCGAAGTGGCATCCTTTGTTCTCACATTTAAGTCACATCGATTTAAAAAAAAATTCACTCATACAAACTAAGTCAGACAAGGTTCCCGTAATTTTATTGATTAAAAATAGGAAGCACAACTTTTATTTACTCGAGTTTCTTTTTGATCTGTCAAAAATATTCGATTTAAGATTCGCTTTGTTATTTTCACACTAAAAGTTGTTTTGATTAAAATTTTTGTTTCATCTTTCATTCATCGACTGAATGTCGGAAAGAATAAGTTCAATTATAGTTTGAGTTCATTGTGACATTTCAAGCGTTTAATTCATGATAATCTTCATGAAGATTAAAAAAACAAATCATCGTCAAGTATTTAATTCATCAACTGTAGCTTTTTTTAATAAAAGGAAACTAGTTCACTATTTTAATGATTTTTCGACGCAAATACACATTTTGACTATTTTATTTTTTCATAGCAAATAAACTGCACATACTATTTGAGCGCAAATGATATACTATAGTATTGAGAACTGAAACAACAACAAATTAACCGTTGAGACTAGGAGGTAAACTCTAGTGAAGTGCATTGATTCAACACAATTTGTTGAAACTGGTCAATTAAACCTTCTTACGCAGTAGAGAAAAAATTGCTGTTGTAATCACCGCTCAAGTAAGCAAAATGCATGTATGTTGCATGCACAAAGTGCGTCTGTTGCTTACAATGGATTTACTAGTAAGTCCTGCTTTTGAGTGCATCTCGCTTAGGTTAGCCATTTTATCCCAGCGCTTCAATAATTATTATTCAATTTTCAATAATTATTGGAGAATGTAAAGAAAAACCAATCAAATTCAAATCAATTCTCAAAAATCGGATAATTTTTGAAACAATTGAATCCACAGAAACAATCCTATCCATTCAAAACTCAAAATTGCATTGTTCCCAATCATATCCGTGTTTGTGCATATTCATGGCCAGTGCAATTTTTACTAAAAGAAAGAAATTTTTTGAACGGAAATAAAATGCAAAATATTTGAATCTTTATTTGTTTCATTTTTATTAAAATTGATTTTTTTGCTGTTGTTTTTTTTTCTTTGAACCTTACAAACGAAGAAATTAACATGTTTACAGATAAATTAAATTATTAGAAATAAAAATACATAGAATGATTGTATTTTTAGTTTTCTCTTTGACAAAAGAAAGATCGCTATCTATGAATAAAAACTGAACAATTAATCGAATAACCTAACGAAATTGGTAGTGGTCTTTTCCCTTGTGTGTGTGTGTATGTGTTTTCCTTGTTGATTCTTTTTAGGCTTGTGTGTATGTGTGAAAAACAGCGCTTAAAAAACATCGATGAGCAAATTATCTAGGTACAAATGATGCAAGTTTTGTTTGTTTTTTTCCCTAATTCTTTGAGTTGGTCGCTGTATGTTGACAAAAAAAATAATTCATTAAAACTAAAAGAAAAGAAAAACGTTTTAAATTACAAAGATAAATTTGCAAGACTAAATAAAAAGAACAATTATAAAAATAAATTATGATTTTTTTTCTTCGTTGTCTTTTCCAAGTTGGCTACGAATATTTAAATCGACCGCTAGCGTTAGCGGTGCGAGAAAAAATGGTTGAAATTTTTGAAATTTCCGCTAAAACAAATGGACGGGCGTTCTGAATGGCTCTCTTATTTTCGTTGCTTTTTTTGTTTGCTTTCGTGAACATTTGGATAGCAAATTTTGCCGATTTGCAAAATGGAACAAGTCTCTTTCGTGTACTCTTTGGTTTCTTCTTTTTTCCATTTATTTTATTTTTTTGTTGTTGTTTGTTTACCTTAAAATAATAACTAGTTGTCTCTTTGTTTCTATTTAATGCCGCAAGCAAATCCATCCGATTCGTAATAGATTCACTTACATTTTTGCTATGCTTTCATCGTTTGTTGATAACATCAACAACAAAACTATGCTTAAAATGCTCTTAAATGGTATTTCTCTGCCGCTTTTTTTCCGGTCTGTTGGTCAATTTAAAAACCAATTTTTTAAAATTCCGAATTGTGTGTTTTTTTTTATTTTCTTCCTATTGCCTATTGGATGCGCTTGTTTCTTCCTATTGCCAACCGAATCGAAAATTTCGATTTCAAATCCAAAGGGATATGCAAATAATTGATCGAAAATTTCGCTGTTACTTCGTCTTATCCATCGAAAACGAAAAAAAAAATTAATCGAAATTGTTTGTTGATCCGTCATGGACCACCTCATGACTGATATGATGCAATTCTTTGTGTATTATTTGTTTGCTTCTGTTTCATTTTTTCTGTTTAAAATTTAAATCACATTATCTTTATTTCGTGTTTTTTTTTTTGCGATAACGATAAACATTTTCATCATAAAAGAATGTCTCTCGTACAAAATATTGGATTGTTTATTATCCGAATAATCAGCCGCATTTCCGAGTGAAATAAATAAAAATCCATTCATAGAAAAAAAAACAAGCAATTATCGGGGATGAATAAATTCACATTACATTATTTGTTTTGTCAAGTGTTTAATGGACGGAAATTCATGCTACAAAATAAATTCACATTCGAAGCGAACAACATCTTACAAATAACCAAGAACTGTCTAGAACTCTGCTTGCATTTTTGTTGGTACACCTTTTTTTAAATCTTTTTTTTGTCTCTCATTTTTTTCTGAATATTTTTTTTTTCAATTTATCTAAAACAAAACATCTTTGACCGTACAAATTGAACAACATTAATTTATCTAATTTTTCAATATGTTTTTTTTGGTTTGATCATTGATTCGGCAAAAAAAAATCTGTCGAAAAGAAACGTTGGTTTTGAGCGCATTTATCATCATACTTAATGCTAAATTGATTTACCTTTTGCCAATGGCTTAAGTGTTGTTTAAGTTCTACTAATCAAAATAAATATGTTTCAGAACGATGTCTAATTTGGTATTTGAGCCTTGATTTTTTTCTTTATCTTGGCTTGCCTAATTTCTTTTTCTCTTCTCCTCTATGTCCTAATTAACACAAGTGTGTTTTTTGTCTTCTTTTTTTTCGTATATTTTCCCTTCGTTGAACCGTCCCTACGCAGAAGCGCTGTCTGAGTCTCTCCGAAAGAGTGTGCTGCGTTTGATAAAATCATTTGTCTGAAAATGGTATCATTTCAGGCGTTGTTTGTTGTTGCGGTGGTGTTGATAGAAGACGACGGTCGATGTGGCCGATTCGCGATTTTACTTTGATTATAAACAGCTGCTTGTCACTTCCATGTCGGTCAAATTGGGTAAATAGGTGTTGGCTAGCTCATGGATGGGTGACGCGGGTGCTGAGTCGGTGCTTTGCTTGTGCTGACATTCACGGTGCCGACGCAAATCGACCTTACGTTGGAAGGCACGATCGCACATTCCACACTTGAACGGCTTGTATCCTGAATGCTTGCGCATGTGAGTGATTAGATTCGAGCTTTGGCTAAACGACTTCAGACACACAACACACTTATGTGGCTTTTCACCTGCAAAATAGCAACAAAAAAAGGATTAGTATGATTTTCAAAGCAATTTTTTTTTTAGATTTTATTTTGTGTTCAATGAACCGTTTTTGTTTTATTGAACGAGCACGCGCGCCTTTCCATTGATCTTTTGAATGGTTTCAAACATACATGCTTTGCAAAGCTACATTCCGATCGATGCATCGATTCTGATTTGTTCGGAACATCAACTTTTGTAACAATCTTATCGATTGTAAGCGTAGAAATACAGTAGCGATTACCAGGCTTAAACTCATAGACAAGAAAAAAAAACTCATGTATGGCTGAAGACACACACCGAGAGAGTCAATACTCGTTTCCAAATTGAAACGATGCTCATTTCGCCCGCAATGAAATCTTATCGATGCAAATTTTTGTGTATGCGCGCACGCTTGCGTTCCAAATCGCAGCCATATCAAGAGCATTTATTGTATGTGTGTGTGTGTGTGTGTGTGTGTGTGTGTGTGTGTGTATGTGTGCATTTCAGATGTAGCAAAAAATCTAATTGTTAGGCATTATCGATCGGCAGTTTGGACACTGAATACGCTCCTAATATTTCGTAATGTGAATTGACGGTTCGTCGGAGGCAAAGGGAGCTGTGCAGCAAAAAGCCAGTGAGATGAAACGAAACGAAACGGAACGAGAAGGAATTGGAGGCAAAGTGAAAGACCCAGAGTAAAACGAAAAGAAGGAGAGAGCAAGAGAGAAAGAGAACGAAATTCGAACATAGAAAACCGAAACGACGCGAGATGGAAACGAGACAGAGAGATAAAATGCAGATAAGTGAACTGCAAACCGGGCGATAAGCATGCACGTATATTTTCAGTTCAACATTTATTCCTCTATTTATTCATTCATTTTTTGTTTTGTTTAATTGGCCACAATCCAACATAGCAACGAATCTATGCTATCGGCTTTGTGGTCGCGATTACAACAATTGCGTAGTTGTGAATGACAAAACTGGCTTATCTATGCGATCGAATCTCGGTGGATTTTCTTTTAAATATATATGAGTAGTATTCAGTATGGTGTGGCGTTTTCATTCTTTTCTCCTTTTGCATGCAAATTTATTTCAATGCTGCTCAAATGTACATTTATATGGATCCATTGGCATTGCAGTTGGCCGAAGACGAAGAAGAGGAAGGGGGAAAAATTGAACAATAACAATAAGAAAATCAAAAGCCGAAATAGATGGAGATTTGCAAAATGTCTCGTCTCTCGTACGAAAACAACAAAAGAAGAGACGCAGCAGAGTTCGCATTTCACTCGAACATGAACGCACACGCTCTCGCTCGGTCGGAAAAGAACAATCGAATGCAATCTGGCAAAATTATAAGAGCAAATCCGATACCGATAAGGAATATAGACGAGAGCGCTCGATCCGGCGCACAACCCGAAAATATATGAGCGTAAAATTTTATTTGCAATTCGGTGTGTGTGTGTTTTCTAATTGGGGGCCTCAATGATGACGAGGACAGTTAAACAAAAGCAAGAAAGCGCCAAACAAATTTCGACCGAATGTCATCGATGCAATAAATATTAGACGAGAGAAAGAAAAATGAATGTGCGCGCGGTGGGACATTAGCAAAAACACTTGAATGAGTGAGGCTCTTTCATATCGGGAAAAAATGTGGCCAAAAACATTCAAAGCGCCACCGATGCAGCGATTTCAATAGCTATCACACAGATATGGACACACAAAACAACAACAGCAGCAGCCACAGACAACCAACGAAACCAAATGAAACGAAAACAAGACGAAGAAAAATAATAAAAGAAACGGCATTTGAAAATGTGCCCAGGCGCTGTTTAAGGAAATTTGCGAATCAGGCAAAACGACGACAAGCAAAAATTACTTCTATTAATTTTATTTGATATTGTAGTGCGCGCATGCGATGTCTCGCCCCCCCTCCTCTCTCTCTCTTTGCTTTGAAACACAATGAAAACAATAGTTGACACAGTTGAAAAATATATATCTATTTCTGAATGAGCGGTTGGTTTTTTTTTGTCTTCTGCACGGCTGCTGCTGCTCTTACCGCCTGGAACAAGCTAACAATCTTGCACTATTGACGTTTAGTTTCGGCGTGCCGGTTTGATTCAAGCCGTAACGTAATGAAATCTCAAACTGTGGGCATATTTAACTAATAGAAGCCAGCGGCATGCCTCTTTTCCATCGTGCTACGATTGTACACAGCAAACAACAACGACAAGCAGCAGAAGGAAAAAAAAAAACACAATCAAATCAACAAACACAAACCCCAAACAACGGCGACGCATTTATATACTGTTTTGCCGCGATTCTCGGTTTCGGTCACATAAGGCGTAAACGTTTCAAACGATGTTAAATTGTTGTTTTGAGAAGTAAAAGAGCGGAGAAGAAACGAACAAAAAAAAATGAATGGTAACACAAAAAAGGAAAGCCAGATGAAATCTTTCAAAGCGATGACTCGTGCGCCGTTCAAACGCTTCTTGTTGTTGCTGTTCATTTTGCTTTGTATTTGCCATCGTTTGCCTTAATTTGTTGGGCGCTCTTTGGCGAGAGCAATTGATATGTCTAATCATCCGTCTTGGGTGGGTGTAATGAGCTGATGAGCTGTTCTTTTTTTCGTCTGCCTTAGCTCGGAATGGTGTAGGGGCGCATCATAAATTAACGTGCAAACTAACAAGATTTACGATACGTCCATTTGATGGTATTCTTTTTCGGTCTCTGTAATTGTGCCATGGACGTGTCCAGCAGCGAACAAAGTGAACTTGTCAAAACAGTGATTTTCTTAAAACTCTTTAATTCACTCATTTTTTGTGTGCGAACGCACAAATGCGAGTGCACTTGCACCATCAAATGTACGACTATGGTAAACGAAATTCACAATAGCCTACCAAACAAATGCGACCAAATGAATGTGCGCTAACAATGATTTCAATTTAACAAAACCGTTTATACTTTTCGCACATGATCTGACTAGTATCTAGTCACTAGACTCTAAGCGAAACAAATGAACCGGCCGCGCACATGCTAATACGCAAAGTGCAAAGAGAAAATTGCGAATAAAGAAAACGGAATAGATACGACGGAACTGAATATATATGAACAACGAGATAAATAGCTTGCAAATGAATCATCGGCACGGTATATGAAAGCGCATTACATAAGAGTCAAGAATGTGGATTTTGGAGGCAATGCGATTTGAAGAGGAATTTTGAAGATTTGTACTCGATCACCTTTTTTTTTAAAGGGGATTCAAACCATTTCTTCGTTTAATGTTTGATCATTTCCGATTCAAAAATGCATATTTGACACTCACAATCTAACATAAATGAGTGTCGCATGATTTGCACTCTTACTATGCATTCACATTATGCATGATCATCGTCAAAGTTTTGAAAGATCAATGAAATAGCCATCGAAATCGCTCAAATCTAACGGAAAATCGATTTTAGGACGAAATAAAACGATGAATAACTTCTACTTACCGGTGTGAATGTAGGTGTGTTTCTTCATGTCGGACTTTTGATGGAATCTTTTGCCGCAAAATTCGCACGGGAACGGCCGCGTATCGCTGTGGATCAGCAAATGTGTAGACAGTGTACTTGATCGTTTGAATGTTTTGTTGCATTGTTTGCACTGTAATGGTATAGATAAACATTTGTTTATTAGAAAAATTAAGTCAAAATATAGTTCAAAGTGTGTTTCACATTGAGCAAAACTCACTAAAAGTTTGAAGAAGTATATAAGGTTAAATAATCTAAATAAAGCTAAAAAAAAAAGTTGTTACGAAAAGATTTTTCTGAAGCTAAAAACATTTTTTCCACTAAAAAGTTACCCATTTACGAAGATAAGACTAACGACAATCAAATTCCAATTGAAAACTTGTGAATGTCCAAACTTGTCTTGTAGTTATCAACAATAACAGTTTTACTCTTCAAATCTGTATTGAATATTGTGGTCTATTTTCCGTGGTGTTCACCGAATTGAACATAGAAACAAACAAAAAAACTCCAGTTGTTCAATGAAACAAAAAATGAATGAACTTTATGACGAAAAAAAAGGCCTGATTGCCTGTGATTTAGCCATTCACTAATAGAATATTCATTTGAATTAGTTTGTTCGTGAATGGTTCACATTTTCATATTTTGTTTGATAGACTGTGATAAGCGCGAGAATAATGTTGGGTAAAATCTGTCGCTTTATTGTTGTTGTGCTCAGTTGAGTTGATGTGTGTGCATTGTGAATTCAGGCAATTTCACCGACAATCCAATGATGTTCATAAATTAATAAGCAAATAAATTGTTCATAATTCATTGCTAAGTTTCATTAATATGGTATGATTGAATGGCTGGAAACTTTGGTGGTTGAATTGCGTTTATTGTTTTTATTCTGTTCCAGATATATCGATGACCAAGTTTTGTGTGTTCCACCACTGAAAACGAGCGACGAAAAAAAGAAGAATTTATGACCGACATTGAATTTACGTAACCAAATCTATCGTTTATTAAATTTATTAATTGCGTGGCAGAGAGAGAGAGACCCGCAACAGAGTGTGTGTTTCGATTTGTGCCATCGCGCGCAGGGGATCAAAATGCCACAATCATATTAGAGATCATCAATAATACTGATAGTTTGGTAAATAATTTATCCAATTAGGTGCAATTGCCATATTTTCTTCGTTTGAGTTGATTCGGAGCTTCTTTTTTTTCGTTGTTCATTAAGTGGTGTGCGTTTGCATTGCTTGTCAATAAGGAAGGAAAAGCGGTCACCGATGGGGTTTGTTTTATAATTTTTTTTTTATTGTACATCGTATTTGCATGCAATAAAAACCGAATGGATATCATTCCCAAAAAGGATAAACTCTCGCACTCCAATATCGGTGTGTGTTGATCAAATGTCGTGACATCAAGCGATAAGCACGAAACTATTTCATTTAAACATTTGCCGAACTAAATTCCCCAATTTAAGACGAGTTAATGAGTGGAATAAATCAAAAAAAATGATTGGTTTACCGCGTAGGTTCGCGGCGCTATGACATAATTCATCGACTAATGAATTAAATTGAATTGAGACAACGAAGTGACACTGGCCCCCTAGAGTAATCAAGAAACAAAAAAAAACGAAATTTGGCTCAATCAAGCGTCCAACTATTTCGCATTTCTTTTTTTATTGACAACGATTTGTTCTTTTTTTTTCAATTTGTTCACGAATTTCGACTGCATTGCGGCCGTCCGCTTTATTTGAACACCTGAATCAAACACCATCAACAGAAACAATTGAGAATAATGGCTCATTTACACACGCAACGTGATTAAATTATATTTGATGAATTATTAATTGTCTGAAAATAAGAGACGGACGAACGGGAACAATTGCACCGCGGTGTGTGTTAATTCGCGTGTTCATGACGATTCTTCGTTCAAACGAAAAAAAAGACCAACAACAGCGAATATTAAAATTTCGGAAGGCTCATCACAAAATTGAGAATTAATTTGTATGACAAAAAGGTCTCATATTCTCAAAGCCAGTCGCTTTAGATCAAAACAAAAGCATGTCATAGCAAAACAAAAAGTCATAGCAAAAAGTAAAAAAATGACATATTTGACATTAGATGGCATTTTCATAATCACTGATAGCCAAATTTAATTCGAATACTTTTGGTTACCGTTAAAAAAAAAATTCGATCTTTTCAAACGAAAAAAAAATCCAATATGAAAATATGTCGCGAACGCGAAAAAAATTCGACAGATTATGTCGCCCAACCGAAATAAGCAGTAATAAACAGTGAACGAAATTAAAACATGTTGGATGCGGTGTTGTTGCACGCTCAACGCCGTCAATGAATCGGAACGAAGCAATGAGAAACGAACAAAATGAATCGAAAAGCACCCAACCAGAGAAAAACGAGGAGAGACAAAGGGAGAAAAAAATGATTGCTTGCAATATGTTGTTTCGTTTCAATGCTAATGTGTTACTAACAGTTGCTAATATTGAGTCCGTCAGGATTCAACACATTACCTTTCTTTCTCTCTCTCTATCTCTCTCTCTCTTCGTTAGAGTTTCTCTTTTCACTTTTGTTTTCGGTGTGATTACCTAACCGTCTTTTTGTCCGTGTATATGTCTATTATTATTAGATACGTGTGTTCGTTGCTCTTTTCACTCAGTTTCTTTCATAGCCGCTTACGAAACCATTCTATTGATTTTCATTGATCGAAATTGATACGCGAACACATCATATGATTTTGAGGAGTATGAAAAGAGAGGGAGAGAGAGAGAGAGAGAGAACAGATTGCCGAAGTTGCAATCACAAGGAAATGGTCCATAGCGAAAATGAATGGTCACTGTGGCCATTCAAAATTTATTATCGACGCTTGAAATCTGTTGCCCGAACACCGTTGCATCCAAATTTAATAATTACGAAAACCTCAATTGGATATTAATGTAAATGGCCGAACGTAGAATGATTTTTCTCTTTCTGTATGCTCAATTCGATGGATCGCAATTATCATAAATAATTAAGGGCAAAGTACTACTTTGCCCTTACTTTAATGGCTCGATGCAAATGACGGATTTGATTTGAAGTTTTCAAGTTTTCAACATCTGATGCGCGACAGTGAATTTTGAAATTTTTGTTTCCAAACCGAAGCGGATTTTACTTATTCAAAACGAATACTGATGGTTTTTTTTAAACAAATAAATCTAATTTTCTCCACTTTTTGTACAAAATTCATTACGAAGAATCGAGTGATTTTTGGTGGGACTTTAGTAAAACTATCTAATGATAACTGAATTCGACCGACTGATTGCACTAAACAAGCTCAAAGGAGTTGACGGTTGCCTTCTTCTAACATAGTAAGAGAAATTTTCTAATAAAATTAAAAAAAAAACGCACACAATTCTCACCTGAAATAGTTTTTGCATCCGATTGCCTTCGATGCTGCGTGAATTCTTTGGTCCGTCGCTTCTGTTCATTGTTGTATGTTTGATATGCGTGTGATTGAGTTTATTGGCATCGTTATGCGTGGCATCATTGTTGTTATTGTTGTAATTGTGTAAATTGGCATTTCGTAGCTTTTCGTTGTTGTTCCGTAGATTCTCGTTGTTGGAATTGAGCAAATTTTCGGTGTAGAGATCTAGATGATTTTTGGCGATCAAATCGAATTCGGCCTGTTTGTGAAGATGTGACAGAAATTCGGTGGTATTTGTTGCGGCTTGTACAGCAGCCGCAGCAGCGGCTGCAGCAGCTGCTGCTTGTGTCAGCGACGATGGGAATGTACCGCCACCACCGCCACCACCGTTCGTTTCATTGGTTCGTCGTTGCAATTTTTGCAGGAAATCAGCGGAAATGCCAGTGGCGTGGGCTTTTTCAAAAAATTCCTGTATTGGCAATGGTTGTGATGTGCGCATCGATGACACGGACGATGTTGATGACGATGACGATGATGAATTGGCTATGATTTGCTGATGTAAATGTTCCGATTTGATTTGATCTAATTCCACTTTGATTGGTAGACCCTCTGCCGCCGATTCCTTCTCACAAATACTAGCCGGCGACCAGATTATTGCATTTGAATTCGAACGATTCGATTTTATCGACAAATTCAATGGCTCATCTTCATCGATTTCTGGAATTTCACCCATGTAGGAAATTAAAAATGATTGCATTTTTTTGCGTTTACAGAGAAAAAAAAACAGAAGAATTTTAAGCAAATGACAAATGGCTTCGATCACGGAAGTTCAAATGCAAGATTTTTTTTTTCATTTCTCTCCGTTTTAAAATCAAAATATGTGACCATCTTCACTTAAAACACAAACGTGAAAAAAAACACAGAAAAATTATCATAAAATTAAAAACATCACATCATCAACTTACCGGCTGCTTCGTCTTTTTCTGGTGTCAGTGTGTATCGATGATTACTTAAATTTGGTGATTCGGGCGATGCTGTCAAACCGGCAACTGCAACTGCAGCTGCTGCATTTTGATATGGCAGAAAAAATGTTGGCGGCCAAAATAATGAGTTTGGATAAATCAGCGGATTGTACAGCAGTGAGAAATCTGAATGCGGGAACAAAATGTGTGGTTGGTTTTGAAAAAAAAAAGTCATTAGTATTTAAAATCCATTTGTTTTGTGGGAAAACCCCCGCGCAGAAGAACATAGAAGAATAGAAAAAAGCGAGAAATCGAAACGACAAAGGATAGAAAAAAGAGATGGGTTGTTTAAACCTCAAAAATAGTTAAACAAGCCGGCATTGTTCTTGAACAACAAAACTTGACGCCATTGGCTTTTATTGTTTTATTGTTCCAGTTTTTAGCACCGGAAATGAATCAAGTGCGCCGAGAGACGAAAAGAGAGAAAGACAGCGTCAACGTGAACGAGAAAAGGGACAAAACAATAATCGGACAGTGCTAAAAACCAAAACGGAATTCCTTGTTAAGACGAAATGCATGAATGAATGAATGATTATCACCACTTTAAATGGAATGCAAACACTAAATCCAACATCAAAAATGGTGAATGAAGTTTATTTAAATTAGTTTAAACGAAAACTTGGGCGAGACGGAAAAGTACCAAGTACCTGAATTCCATTCCATTGAAAGTAGAAAATGGTGAAATATGTATATACAAAGTTGAACTGAATGAATGTTTTTCTATGGACTTTACCGTTAAGTTCGATTTTTCATTGAAACAACCAGCTTCAACCGTTCTTTGCGTATTTTTTCTTTCTTAAATTTTTCTTTTAACAAAATTTCCGTTTTACTTTCCCTCCAAATTGTTTTCTTCTTTTGAAAACGAATGAAAAAACCTTTTAATGAATGATTCGTAAATCTTTCGATGCAAAACGAAAATTCAGTAGGAAAAATCAAAAAAAAAACCATACCTTGGCTGAGTTTATTCTGTAGCGCTGTGTTGAGATTGGCTCGAAGTGCTGACGCCTGAGCCAATGGAAAGTTTAATTTATCTAGTCCGTTCATAATATTTGGATAATTCAAAAGTTTCGATGCAACCGATGGCAATGTGCTCGGCGGTGATGGCGGTGGTGACAAATGAGCCATTTCAGAAATCTGCAATGAAGAACAAAAAAAAAAACAAAACCAATTAAAATCAATTTGTTCTAAATGGAAAAAAGAATAAACTCTTTAAACTCAAGAGAGAAAAAAAAACAAAACAAAATTTCCAAAACCAAAATTTTCCATTGCAAAAATACACCTTTTGTTTTAATCTCTTTTTATTATTAATTTTTTGTATGAGATTCGACGGTATTTTCCTTCGTTTCATTTTTTTTCGGGAAAAAGAATGAATTTGCGTTTCAATGATCTGTATGAATTCGCCACACGCCAGCCGCCGTCGCACGATTTGTTTAATTTGAATCAATGTTGTAAAGACGGAATTGTAGTCGCGTTGTGTTCGACGTCGATCGTGTTGTGATAATGAAACGTGAAAAATGTTTTGCGACGTGAAAAGAAGGACGGGAGCGCAAGAAGGCTGTGCAACGTTAAAATCTATAATGAGATCGAGTGTTGTATTTTTCATCAACGACCGAGCAAAAAACGAAGAATGATATACACACGTGTCGATTGTTTTGCGGGTTGATATTTATTTTGCGGCTAGATATTTTTACATGTCAAGCTCAGAAGATACAAGAACACCGATTCGAATGAAACAGACCCGTTCGATCTTTGTTTCAATGATGCGTGTGAGAGTTGAAAAGATTTCTCGCCTGTTGAATCGACGAAGAGAGTGGGGTGAATTGAGTCGTTTTTTTATGTAAATTTATTTCGGTTACAATTGTTGGCTCTTTGTTATCCACGGTCAAAGACACTTTTGGGATATCGACAGATATTTTTGAGTTTAGCAACTTTGACTGCATGGTTTACTGTAGTTTTGTCACTTTTCTCATCACCGCTTTAAATTAAAATAAACGATTCGAATATTGAAATACGTGTGTGTTTCAATCGACAGCCGTGTGTGATTCGTTCGATCATTCAAAGTATTTTCCGTGCAAAAAACATTCCAGTTTCATCATTCAGCTCATTGTTTCTGCCTCCAGGCATCATTGCATTTGTTTCTAGTTGCTCGCAAAATTATCGGCCTTTCAAGCCGCGATAATACATGAATGCGGCTGTGTGTGTTGCCATCTAAGCGCAAAAAAAATGTTTATGGGAATTCTTTTGTCATTTCGTGTTTTATTTGGATAAGATTACCTTCTTATTAAAAGTGATACGATTGGGGTTACGCGCGCGTATGTGTTTGGGCAAACGTCAGTGCAAAAAAATGCGCGTTATAACGGTTAAAGTAATGTAAATACAATCAATATTTTGCAATTGCAAATGAATGGATTCCAATTTGTAGCTGGCACAAAATTTCAACCAAAAACAATGAAGCAAAACAAGTATGAGCAGCAAAAAAGAGCGGAGTATCTGTGCGAATCTAATGAAACAACCTTCTTCCGAAACAATCAATTCTTTTTTTTCAGTTCAATTTTTTCTCTTTTGCAATTGCGACAAAAGAAGTGAAAAAAATCAATAGAAAGAGGTGTCTTGATGGTGAGATGATGAGATCAAATAAACAACGAACAAAAAAAAACCAAACAAATACGGACAACAACACCATCACATCCACAATACAGCGATAGAGAGTGAGAGATAGAGAGGTAGATTTCACTCTACCTTCGAAAAATATCATGAGCAAACAATGGGCGGAGACAAAAAGCCCAAAGTCACTGTAATCTCTCCACTCGCTTAGTAAATATGCAGTATTACACAACACAAACACACGAATGGAGAAGTGAGAGAAAAATAATGAGCAAGAAACAAAGCGCGGCTTTCTGGAAATACTACAACGACGACAACGAAGCGAAAAACAAGAAAAAAAATCGCGTTGCCAATGAGGAAGAGTCACAGAGGTGAGAAAATATATGGACGACCGTTAAGCAGATTCGAACGGGCGACTTTGAACGATTTTAACTTTTCGATCCGATCTGATCCGTTTCGAATGGAAAATACACCGATTTTTGTTTCTTCTTCGCCGTATCGATTTACTCATTCGAACAACGAACGTTTTTCCTTCTTTAAATCAATAGATTTATTCATTTAATACGATGCATCGATGACAGTTTTAAGACTTCACTCCAATCGCCATGCCGAGACGTATGCACTCAATCGCTGGCAAATCTAAGTTTCACTTTGCTTCAAAACGGAGTTTGCATTTTTATATGTGCGAATTCAACAATCGCCACGTCTACTCCTAATCCGTCTTACTTTTATTTGCCATTGCGGCACAAATCATTTGCGGAAAAATTAGAATCAAGCGATAATTTTTCTTTCTGCCGCTCTATGGCATATCAAATGAACTTTACTTCACCTTTTATCATTCGGCTTATGCATTTGAAACGGAGAATTGTGCAATGCTTAAGAGCATTACCGTGAAGTCATAATGCAATTACTTCCATTTGGTCAAAGTTGCACTCGCTTTTCTTGGACAAAATTGGCTTTCTTTGTATTGACGACGGTAATCAATGCAATAAAGCTATTTAGAAGTGGATTTTCGAGTTGATTGTATAGCGTTTTATGTTTTTCGACTCAATCTTACTCGTCTTCAATGATTTTCGACTAAATTTCATACATTGTCAATGACCATTTTTTGTGTTCGTTAGAAAAGTGTTTTTTTTTTCGTGCACGAAAAAAAAAACACTCTGTTCTAACGAACACAGTGTAAAAAAATGGTCTTTCAGCTCATAATACAATCTCTAATTGTGAGGGCAATATAGGCCAATTCGCAATATGCGAATAAAAATTCCATTGTCAATGACTTGTGACTCGTTTTTAGCATTTTTCAACGATTGATCGCACTAAACAGAGAATTTTGGCACATGAAATGATTTAATTTATACAACAAACAATAAAAACTACTCTAAACGTTTAAAATCACGCAAAAACGATTGAAATTCAACATAAACACGATAATTTCTAGTTGATTGAAATGATTTTATAAGATTTTAAAATGCAAGAATATCCGAAAACAGTCAATGAATGAGTTTTCGGTCACAGGCGAATATTTTCATTGCATAAGACACAAGGTTGCTGCAACAGCAATATACCACAGGCGATCCTGGTGGCACCGATTGTAATGTGTTGAAAAATACATTGTAACTCACAGGATTTTACTATCGGTGCCACAAGGTGTCGCTAGTGGTAATGCTCTTGCAGCAACGGTGTGGCATAAGAATTGTTTGGAATAAGAAAAAAAAATTGAAATTGAATTGCAGAAATTCATTCATCATCGCCATCACTACTGTCCGTCCTTTCTTTGTCACAAAAAGCGCGTCGATGGAATTTCGTTACTAGTGAGTCGCTACGTCGAATCGTGCCAAAGGAAGATGCGTAAAAACAGTTGAAACCGTTCAATTTGTGTCAAAACTCAATGGCAAAGCAAACAATAAAATTGTTACAATTGCGAGAATGTAACGAACGAATGGTTACGATGGAAAGAAATGAAACTGAGCATGAGGATGCCTGATAATTGATTGAAAGTGAAGTTAATTGCTTACATTTAAGCGCATGAAAGGCATGTTTTTTTTTATCTGCACTGTCTCTTGAATTTGCACCTAAACATAGCCCAAATCAGAGCCAAGAGAAGGAGAAGAAGGAAAAAAAACTGCATTGATCGGAAGAAGCCGAAAAAAGCAGCGCCGACAAAAACTGGTCGAAAACGAAGCGAAAACAAAAAGACAATCCATTGAAATAAAAAGTGTTGATCGAGGTTGCACATGCAATAATTTGGACAATTGCTCAGTTTAATTTTTCAACAGAGTCACACGCACAAAACCGACCCGAAGCGCATAACGCATTCTGCTTTTTTTTTTCTTCTTCTTCTTGTTTTATGTAATTTTTTTTGTTGGCCTCTTGATTGGTTTGGATCTTAACTCGATGTAATGAAACCAAAAATTACCGAGCTATTCAGCCATGTGCAGCTTTTTTTTTGTCTGTATTCGGTTTGTTTTGTGTGTTCGGCTCGTAATCGTAACGGCTCACGGGAACTGTCGTTGTCTCTTTTTTTTTTGTTAATAAATATACATGTTAATAATTTTTGCAAGTGTCGAACCGTGTCTAGTAAGTGATCCGTGTGTGTACGTACACGTGCCATGCATACAATTATGCTATCAAAAAAGCATAATTCCATCGTCGAGCGATGAAGCAACTAAATATTGAACAATGAATTGCTTTTTGAATGCACTGTTTTTTTTTCATATTCTTAAGGGTATCAATCAAGAAAGTGCATAATGATTCTGTTTATAAGGAAAAAAAATAAGGATGGTTCGGTTGAAAAGTGAAAACGTCGTTTTTTTTTAAAAATTCAATGGCTTTTGTTGGTCCGAAATTGTCGAAAATTTCATTGGATTTTCGAAAAATTCCAATTTTTTATTTCTTAATTTTTTCAATTTCCAGAAGTTCCTTCAAATAGTTTTCGCAAAGTGAGTCGTTGAAATATTCACAGTGAAATTCAATTCATCGCTGTAACACTTGAAGAAAATTCACTGTTTCAAACAACGTGTTTGAAAGAAGAAAAAAAATTGGAGCGAAAAAACACCGAATTTGTTTGTGCAAAATTAAATAGGTTAAGCAAGTCTGAATGAATTGATGTAATTGAACTTCGATGACGACAACAAGTTGTCACATTTTGTCAATAGAAAATATACAATTTTAGGTACTCGTTACTTAATACGTAATTCTGGGTAGTGAGTTGTTCAAGTGAATAGCTATGAGGTGAATATATGAATTGTACATCGAATTGATCATGTTTTTACCATGCAAAAAAGCGAACGAGAAAAATTTAACGGAAATTCAAGTGCATATTCATGGGTCGTGTGCGTAATTCATCGATCTGACCGAATTGACTTGTGTATCATAAAAAAAATCGATCTTATTCTTGATCGTATGATTTGTATGATGGTGTGTGTGTGTTCGTGTGTGCTGATGAGCGAAAAATCGTGTTAAAAGAAAGAAAAAGTGGATATCACCTGGAATATAACAATATATAAATTAATATCGGGTAATTAAATGCG